ACGAAAAAGTACCACGGTAGTTCTGAAATTACCGTAGTAATTACCTCAAATTTCCAATTACCACAATTGTCCAAAAATGACGAAAAATTACCACGGTAGTAATGAAATTACCACGTCTGGTCACACTGCGGCGAACGTCTGCGCAACCAGGCCTCCTTTACCGTTGGATTTACAGGGGGGAAGCAGATATTTCCGGTAACAGCCAGCCAATCGCGGCCGCGATAGCGACTGTTTACGTTATTTGAAATTTGATATTCAAAATAAAAACCCCTTCGATCGGATACTGTATAAAACTCGAGATGTTGTCGAAGAAAAGAAAACTAAACGACGGAGATTGAACAAATTTAAGGAAGAAGTAATATACAGCGGCTCTTTGTTGGAAAGCATGGTAGAATATGATACTTTAATTCGAAATATTATCCAACCTCGTTCCCAGGGTATTTAGGAAATACCCTGGTATGGGCTGGTCACGTGCCTCGTCCAAAATTTAGCGCCCGAGGGGGTGTGGGGAAAGTATCAAATTACATGATTCCAGTGGAGATATTTTGTTTAACAGTTAAAAACATTATTAAGTTCAAAATACTTGCTAATTTTTGTTTATTTTCTTTGCTTTGAATTTACAAGAACATTCTTACATTTTTACCAACAGTCAAGTCAAGAAACCAAGAAAATCGTTAATACTCATAGTGCTCTCTCGTGTTATTCAATGTCGTCTCTCCACTCGAGCGCGGTTTTATTACAAACGTTTATTATGAGCTTTTCAGTCATCATTTCTACATATGTAATGTTTTTAAAATGAGATTTGTCCTTTCTTGTAATTGTTTACATGCTTTGCACCGATTTAATTGTATTGTCTGCCGTCTGGGACTAGAGCCCAATATTAGAAAATGTAAACATTTGATACTAGCCAAACAGAGAAAGTCTGTCAGTGATTATAAAATTTTGGATTTAGTACATAGTATTCGGTGATTATAGTCAGGCTTTAGCCTTTTTCTTGGTCTTTATTAATCATAATATTTTCCTAATATACTAAATCTATATATCACAAATTTACAGTGTCAGACGCGCACAAACTGTCATACGAATAAACATAAATTTTCGAGTTTTCTACTTCTACTAACATTTTTAAAGTTTTCATTGTGAATCATCTGTTTATTTCTAGTTCATTAGTCATTAATATGCTCTAAAAAACAAGGCTCTCAAATATATTTGTATATTTATTTGATAGTTTCATAGTGATATATGCATTTACAAGCAATCCTGGATATGATAAAGACAAGCTGTCCATTAAAAAATAACGGTATTCTATTCCACAAAGCAAAAGATTTAAATCTCACTTGTATTATTAAGAATATATATAAAGCAAAAAATTTAAACTTGTGTGAGTTGTGTCAAAACGAAAGCTGTTTATAAAATTTATGTTGTAAACACTATTATATTAATATAAAGTGCCATTGAAAGACATAATATAGTACAACCTCGTTCCCAGGGTCTCTCCTGCAGGCTGCTCCATTTACTGTTCGGAGTACTCCGGATTTTCGGAACACTAATTAAATCGAACCAATAATGGTCACATGACTGTTCTGACGGTCACATGACTGTTCTAGCTACCCCTACTTTTGAGTAGGGGCAGTCAGAACAGTCATGTGACCGTTTTCGGTTCGATTCGATTAGTGTTCCGAAAATCCGGAGTACTCCGAACAGTAAATGGAGCAGCCTGCTTCTGTCATCTGGGAGAGACCCTGGCTGCGGCTGGTCACGTGCCTCCCAGATTCTGGGAGGTAAATTTAATTGTAACTGTGAGAGGGGTGGGAAAGGAGCGTGTTTGTAGCGTTTTAAAATTGCAACTTTGGGTGATGAAATTTACTGTAAATTTGCAACAAGAAATCGTAAAGAGAACTCTTAAATTAATATTTATATCGTGACGTTCTACTCTATAATCTAGTGTCGAGTTACAATTCAAGCAAGTTGGATCAGATTTCATTATAGACTTGCCAAAGAAAGCACGCTTGCGGCGGCTTGCCGCTTGTGCAGCATGGCAATATTAAACCTACAAGAAAATATATATCTCCAGACCGAACAGTGTGGTTGTTATTTATTTAGTATTAAAGTCTATCCTGATACTCTGACCAAAATAATTTATTTATTGATGAGATGTGGAATTGCAACGAAATAGCGAGATCTTTTGATTTCCGAAATACCGCCAACTGTATCGAGATTGTTGATCTATATAAAGGTCTTATCAAAAAAATTAAAGCCCGTCAAAAGACTATAAAATTGGCCCTTGGCATTGGGGAAGCCTCACATATCGATTTTGTCCACGAGAAACGTCATATGTTCGTTTCTCTGGAGACCCCCCCACCCCCCCTTAGAAACGTCACACATAGTTATCGATATTTTGATCTTATTGTAGTACACATAAGGTAATTTTCTACTATTTTTTTCGGTCGGCTATTGGCGATGCTTCCGCGAGGAATATGTCATCTTCTGCTGACATACTCTTTTTTATTAATATAAGTATGAACTTCAAAATTTCCAACGTTTCTCAAAACAACTTTTTTTGCATGAAATATTGATAATTTTAGCGCGTTTTTTTTTTTAAATTTGAGTGTTTTCAATGCAAGGAAGGCGTAATAATATAAATGTATAGGTATAGAACAGGTATGGTATTACGAATATATAGACTGCTGTTTGTATCAAATTGTTTTCTTTTTTTATATTCTGCAAAGATAAAAACTATCGAATTTTTCCATGATGTTTACAGAGAAACGTCACAGCTGCCAACCCCCCACCCCCAAACGAACATATGACGTTTCTCGTGGAAAAAATCGATATGTGAGGCTTCCCTTGCTGAAACCAACGATCATGGTATATGTCAAAGTATAGCTGTCTGTTGAAAATCTACGGTATTAAAATCATACACCAAAGATAAGTCAAACGACAAATTATACGTCACTATATTATACATGTCTTTCAATGAGCACTCTTTAGTAGTGTTCACCACCTTTATAAATTTTTAAACAGCTTTCGTTTTGACATGAATAAGCTTTAGTTTTTTGCTTGATATGCATTCTTAATAAAACAAGTGAAATTTAAATTTTTGCTTTGTGAAATAGAATACCGATATTTTTTAATAGACAGCTTGCATCGTCTATATCATATCCAGGATTGCTTGTGTGTAAACGCATTATTCACTATATGACACTATCAAATAAATATAAGTAGCAAATGATTAATGAATTAGAGATAACAGGTGATTCACAATGAAAACTTTAAAAATGTTAGTAGAAGTAGAAAACTCGAAAATTTATGTCTATTCGTATGACGCCAATGACGGTCTGTGCGCATCTGACACTGTAAATGTGTGATATAGATATTAATATAATGATTAATAGAGACCAAGAAAAAGGCTAAAGTCTTACTATAATTACCGAATACGAATTATGTACTAAATCCAGATAAATCAATGACTGAAATTTCCTCTATGCTTATGGACATTTCTCTGTTCGGCTATTATCAAATGTTTACATTTGCTAATATTGGGCCAGTCCTAGACAATACTGTTTCTTTTAAAAATCTTATAAACCAGGGCCGTAGGAAGCTCTTTTCGATTGGGGGGGCTGAAAGCGAGGGCCGAAGGCCCGAGGAAATTTTTAAATTTAGAGTCTCTAAAATGCCATTTCCTGGACTTTGGGGGAAGATTTAACAGAATTCTGATAGTCAGAAAACAGCGTTTTAGTATGTCGAAATTTACAGGAAAGTATGGGCCAGACTGTAGTATTATAAATGCGCGGTGGGAATTTTCGTCGTAAATGGCAGTTGCGCGGAAATGAAGGCAGAACATTTGAGAAAATTTCGAAAATCTGGAGTCTCTAGATGGTCTGAAATGGCATTTTCAGAGTTTTCTTTCGCAAGATCCAACACGCAAAAGACAAAATAAATCATTAGTTCATCAAAAATGTGCAGATCATTTGTGGGATTTTCTTGAAAATGCGCGACAGAAATTCAGCTAAAATTTCTACGCGAGGAACGAGAAAATATTACATTTTCCTCTTCCGAATACAACAATTAATGTAACATTGGCAAACACAACAAAATTGGTCAGGGGAATATGTTTTTGTTGAATACTTTTGAATATGCCTACGTACTGGACTACACCCTTCAGACCGGAAGTGTGAAACATTAATAAATTACGTCATGGAAATGAAATTCGACAGGTCGCGCCCAGAGGTTTTCTCCGCCTCGTGGCCTCCAGAAAACCTCTGAACCCAGGGTACGCCTGAACAGGCGTCATGTTTAAAAATTATGTCTTCGTTCGCGCTTGTAGCTAGAGCACTTATTCTGCGCATACTCCGCCCAGTCCGCCGGTTACTGCGTTAATGCTTGAAAAACTATCAAGCTACCCAGGTCAGGATATGGACCTCGCAATGAATAAGAGAAGGAACTTTAAATAATTTGTAAATTGTGTTATAGCGGAGAATTTTAGAAAGCTTGAAAATAGCCAAGCATATCAACCATAGTTCAAGTCATTAGCTCATGGAGTAAATCAGAGGGAGTAAACTATAGTTTTATAGCCTTGGCTATCACATTTCTGGCGACTGCACATGATCACTAAATCATGGCTAAATGGATAAGTTAAAAGGTTGAATTAAAAATGTTACCTCATTGCATTGGTAATGAAATCTCGAAGCGCAGACTGCGTAGTGGCCACTCCGTGACTAATGGCTGTCAAGTTAATCGGTTAAGTAAAAAATAAGGAAATCCTTTCAAGGTGTCAGCTGAGTTGTGTTCACAAGTGGGTTATATCATGGCGTTGCCTAAAAATTAACGAATACCTGACATTTATCCATATGCATTTTTCACAACAAAATATTTGAACGACTTATGTTATATACACAAGTACCACAACACTGTGTAGTGCATAAAGATTTACACTTGCGCGAATTAGACTTTTGTGCACGGTTTTAGAAAGGATATTTTGGAGAATTAAGAAACGGAAAAGCGCGGGGAAACCGTGGGATTGTGGACGGAAGTTGCAGCTTAATTAATAAATCGTCATCTATTGTTGTTGTGTCAATTGAGCCCATGAGTCAGTCACTAGACTGATTAATCTTGAGAAGCGGACAGCACAGGTCACAACAAGGACAAGACTGCTATTTTGTTGTAAAGAAGTGTTCAAAAATGGTTTATCTCTGGTTATCTTTTCTTCTAACATTCACAACATTGTTCCAGACAGGTTAGTTTATTAACTTATGTTTGTAATTTTATCTCGAAATATAAACTTGCGCTCATCATTCGAGCGTGCAAGAGGCAAAACGCCATGTGTTTATATAGAATCTAAAGTTTTCTAGTTTTCCACAACTCACTGTTAGAATAACGCGCAAAATTGTTCTTTCTTCTCTTATTAAAGGCTTAAAATTTAAATTTTTAACACCGTATGGTTTGTTGTAATATTGCTCTAAAATGTCCAGTTAAATGGTTAATTCAGTTTAATTAAACTCTCAACCTACGAGGCTGAGAAGTTTTCAGTAACAACTGTTAAGAAGTGACTTCGGCATTCTAGATTATTGCGACATTTAACTTGTTCTATAGAGACAGTATATTAATATGGTGGTTGTCGTATAGGGAAAGTAGCAACCGTTTCATGCCTGCCTCGCAAACTATCATTTATCTAGTATTTCAATGATATGCCATTGAAGGCTTAGCTCAATCCCCTCAAATACCTCGAAACATTCCCCGGGTTCAGATGAGAGTTTACGGGATTTATTTTAAGACTGGTCGTGCTAGGGCCGGGGTCAAAACAACATTTTGCGACGATATTACAAGCCGTTGACAAGACTTAGGAAAACCACACGGGCGGCATGGCGCACTGACAGTGTTGATAAAATGATGAATGAAAAACAAGATAAAATATTATCTTTGGGTGGCTATTAAAATGTGAAAGAGACAAAAGAATATAAAATGTTTAATAATTTTAGAGTTGCGTGATATCGGTGATATTTATAGATTCTTTTTAATATGTAGACAATAAATACATTATCACGCAACTATATTTGTGCCTCTATCACTGCTTAACAATCTCATATTTATATCCCTTAGTTTAGGGTTTCATATTCTTTGATATCGTAAAATTTTATTACTGAATTCTTGAAACAATATAGTTTGCCCTTGCTTACAAAATAAATTTCTCAAACGCCCAGTTTGCAGCAGATCATGTTACATATTATAATATAGCAGCATAAATATGTTCGCGGCTGTTCGCGTTTGCATGAAAATATGTTAAAATGTGCAACATATAGTCTAGATGACCCACAGTGTGCACTGCTAGAGGGAAGAACAACAGCGGATTTAAAAGTTTGTTCCAAACACAAAGAGACAATATTTCGGCATTCAATGTTTGTAGTCAGGATGAAAGGTGTATAATCTTGACGATGTTTCATGATCCAATGTTTGATCTAATTGTTTACTTTGGCTGTTTTGCTTTCTGGCAAACTTTACTTGTGCACTCACATTGCTTATATTAAATATTATATACAACACAGAAAAGAGACAGAGTATTTGTTACTATGTTGTTGTATAAGAAAAACGATCCGTACTCTTCCTGAGAACTGACGAATCTCGGGTTCTGTTTCTAGTGACGTTAGTCATACACACGCGCATATATTGCTTATTTATAAATATTACAACACACACTTAAAACAAGAAACGAGTTATTCACCCATGGCGCTGTTGTGATCAAATTAGATTGGACCTAAAATGTTTATTTGAATGTACGAACGAATGGAACGATTCAACTCTTTTCGTACACAAAACCATAAATGCCATAATTTGCAAATGCGAGGCCAGCGAAGGTCGATAGAATTGTGTGCTGTGTACAACTGGCTAGACCTCGGTCTTTATAAATCCTGTATTTATCGCAAGACGAAATAACAGGAAATTTATAAAGAACGGAACATATAACACAACATGAAAAATCATTTGTCAAGGCATCGAGTGTTTGTCATTGTATGGTTGGTAGGTTGATGAAATACGATACGTGATGCTTTTCCACTATCATTTCAACACATGAGCTCACAATTTGAGAATTCACAAAATATCAATTTTAAGGTTATAAAGATATTCACAATTATCATGTTCTTGAAACAATAAAACACGCAACTTAAACAAACTTATCTGGTTCCGAAATTGTCAGATGACGCCGTGACACGCCTCACTAATTGTGGGATGATTTCCTAATCAGGAAATTGTATCACTTAGAGATTGATTGTATCTTAATTGCTCTTAACTTTATATCTTAATAGCTAAGAAAGAAGGCTTTAAAATACAGTAAAGCGATATATAACCATTTGAGCCTCACAGTATCTTGGATTTTCAAGATGCAATACACAAGGTTCTTCTGTAATACACAAAGTTCCCATTTTGATTTTTATTATTTTTGAGAGACTAAATAGAAGAAAATAAGGACAGTTCTATAAATGTGCTTCTAGTTTGTTTAACCTGTTAGCAGCACAGGGAGCCCATCCCGGGTCTTATTGAAGTTATGTATTAGAATTACGTATGAAATATATAGCTCAGTGTTGAAGCCTGCGACTTGCGGGCTGTGTGCGGGCTAAGCATGTGTTGAAT